TCATTTGAAAATATGAGCAGGGAGACAGTTGTCGATGCACCCAGCCTGTCTCAAGAGGAGATAGTGGCCCAAATCCTCTTACCTAGTTGTGCTGATGTAGCACAATCAGTATAACTTTCAGAGGCACATTTTGCCAAGTTAAAAAATCAGTGTAGACATGATCAGTTCCATATTGGTTTGTGTGACTTGGTGTGCAACTGATCATGTCGACACTGGTGATTTCTTAACTTGGAACAATGTGTCTCCAAAAGTTACCTTATTTGTATAGCTACACAAGAGGATTTTGGCTGATCTGTTACATGGAGCTCCCTCTACATGACTGGAAACCTTCATCCTTCAGCATCCCAGACTTGTGGGAAAACTCCACATGGAACAGAATCTTTAGACTTCAGACCATCTATCTCCCCATGGGGAGAGTGAGGGGTGAGGACAGGGCTGGAATCCTTTCCCCGCTCATGCTTTCAAATTAATCCTTTGGAGAATGTCTGGATGCGGCAGGCAGGTATTCCAAAAGCATGGGGTACAGCAGGAAACCATGTGGCAATAGAGGAGGTCAGATAACTGCTGCCCCAGAGCTGGATGCTCCTTCTATCCTTTCATTGTCAAGTCTAGGAATGGTGACACCTGTCAGTTTTGCTTTCTTTTATTTTCCCTTTGTTTTGATTTCAAAGACTTTCCACTGAAATGATGAAAACGTTTGCAAATACAGGTACGTTTTTGTCAGAAACAATTAAAATCTCAGCCATCTCTACTGGCCAAGGTCCATTGACACATCTACAATGAAAAAGGGCCATGTCATACTTGCCTGCCATGTAGTTGTTAAAAACAAGTAGGGGGAGAAAAAAGAAATCCTAATTCAGCACCAAAAAAACATGATTGAAAGCCAGGTTTTTAAGAGCTGAACACTCACAAACCTGGATAGTTTTGCTTTCTCACACATACCTTTAAAAAAAAATTTCCATCAAACATATGAAAAATAAATGTACATTTTGGAAATACTGTATATACTTATAAGATGCACTTTTCAAAAAAAAAAAATTCTCCCCCACTTCTACCAAACTTCTACTGAATTCATCAGGAGGCTTTTCAAAAGAAGGATGCTGAGGACAGTGGGGGTTCTTATGTAGATGCAGAAGGCAAAGAGCATAAGCCCAGCTTAGCCAAGGCGGCTGAGGGCCAACTGAATTGTCACAAGGGCCGTTGAAGCTGTGCTGAATCTAAACCACTCCCAACTTGGAGATTTTAGAAACTGTTTGAAAGGATTGAAGAGATTTGGACATTTCTCCCTTGCTGTCCTTTTCCCGCCTCTTTCCCCCCCACTTTGGCTCTTGTGCCACCATGAGAGCTTTTCTGCTAACAGAAGCAATTTCTACTCGTTCCAAATCCACTCCTGACAAGGTATCTCTGACTTAGGAATGCACTGTTTCTGCACAGACTTCTAGCTTACATTTGAATAAGCACCACTAAACCCAGTGAAAGTGACTCCTAAGTAAATAACCCTCAGATTGTGCTGTAAATCTTCTCTTTGTGCCTCCTTGGTATTTGGCCCCAAACATTCACATAATGTCACACAATTATGTACTGCAATTTGAGTGTGGTACCAAATAGAAAGCGTAAATGAGCCGTGGCAGTGAGCAAGGGAAATGACATTAATGTAATCATAGCTGGCTGTGTGTAATAAAACGGGAAAAGGAGAAATGTAAATGAAACACAAATTGCCATTTTTAATGGGATTCTAACAAGTGATGGTATATGAAAATCTCACTGAAGTCTGGCATTGCCGGTGAGAGATGGATTACTGTTTCAATGACATGGTACAACTTACATGCCAACGGCTTTTCTGGTTTGGTAACCTTTTCATCTCATTCTGCGTGACAGGGAAGGTCTACTAAAATCAATGACTGGAGTGGCTTCCGACCACATACCATTTATATCAGCGGTTAAGTAACAAAAATGTTGCAAATAGTTCTGATTTACCCTTTGATGCTCTTATAGCTCCTTGATACAACCATGCACAACAAGCGTGACAAGAGTTTGAATTCTTCAATACAGAAATCTGCATTAATAAAACCGTATTTTGTAACTTGCACACATCATTCAAACTGAAGAACTCTAAGTTCTTTTACTGTGCATCACATATCTGCTAGTGCTATCAACATATGTCAGTTTACACTTGAAAAGAAACTTGTTGCATTACCCATTACTTCTCATCAGCCAGTTACCATCATTGTTGTCCCAATCATGTAAGTAAGGTGTTGTGTTGCCACCGCCAACAGGCCAGACAAATACAAGGACATTCTCTCTTGTTCCTTTTGTTGGCCAATTATGTTTATAAAATTGCACATGTGTATAAAAATACAGAAGCCAGAAGATTCTCTCTTGTTCCTTTTGTTGGCCAATTTTGTTTATAAAATTGCACATGTTTATAAAAATACAGAAGAACCAGAGAACATTTCCCTTGCCACTTATGGCTGATAAGAGAATGGCATAACATCAGAAAAATGACTTGGTATGCTCTTTAAAATTAACTACTGAAAGTAACTGAATATTACTTGCCAGACCACAGTAGCCTAGGTATTACTTGTTATATCTAAAAATAATTGTGCAAATCCTAGTTACAATACTGATTCTAAAACTTGTTACTTTTAACTAGTTACTTCTGAGCTCTTTCAGTACTTTCCTACTGGTTTCTTAGAGATGCATCAGGAGCACATGCATACATGTACACACAAAGTGCACTGTGTCTGGGCCTGATCCAGAGGCCTGGCTTCATAGCTTGGGAAGTCAACACAATTGATAGTCTTTCTCCAGACTTGAAGTTCAATAACTGACTGAATTCCTTTCCTTTCAGGATGCCCTAAACTTGCTTGTCAAAGCAGTCTGGGTCACTTTCAGGGTGGATTAAAATCAATCTTTAAAAATAAAAAATCAGATTTAAATCATGATTTAAATATCAATTTAAATTTTAAAATGATTTTTTTAAAATTTAATGATAAAAAAATCTGTTTTTAAAATTTAAAGCATGATTTAAATCAAATTGATTTAAACCAGGGGTGTCCAACAAGCAGCCCACAGGTCTCATTCGAAACCTATGCGGCCCAGGATGGCTATGAATGTGGCCCAACACAAAATCATAAACTTAGTTAAAACTATGAATTTTTTTTTTTTGGTAACTCAATTGCATAGTTCTCAAGCATGAACTTTGTAGACGACAGCATCATGTTGCAATGTCATGTAAAATAAATGTACGTATGCTCTCATACGTAACTGTGGCTTCAGTTTTACGATGGTGTGCAGCTTCCAGTGTGTTTTTTCCTCCAAGTGCAGACATTTGAATTGACACCATCAGACATTACATGTGCTCATGGGATGTACTGTTGCAAACGATAGGCATTTAATGTTATTTAGATGTCTATCGTTAATAAGTTAAACGTTGCTCTTCAAGGTGAAAACCAACTTATCAATACAATGTTTCAAGCCATAACAGCATTCCAAACGAAACTGAAATTATGGCAAGCTCAAATTAAGGCAAACATTTTTATCTGTTTCAACACGTTGGCTAAACACAGTCCTGTGAACAGTGAAAAATATGCAGCTTTGCATTTTGATTTGATACAAGAATTTGAAAGATTTCTGGAATATAATAAATATTTTGGTATATTTGCAACTCCATTTTCAGTCGACATAAATATGTTGCGTGCCAACTTTCAAATGGAATGCATAGAGCTGCAAGCTGACATTCAACTTCAAGAAAAATTTGATCATGTTTCTTTACTGGACTTTTATAGATCATATCTTCCCAGAGACAAATACCTTATGCTTCTCAATTACACCTTATTCGTGTCATCACTTTTTGGCAGTACAGTACCTACATTTGTGAGCAACTGTTTTCAAGAATGAAGTACACTCAGAGTAAAATTATGAACCAAAATATCCGATGAGCACCTTGGAAAGTCATTAAGAATTGTAACTACTTCCATCGAACCAGATATTGATGCATTAGAATCTCAAATACAATGTCAAATATCCCACTAGTTTTATGTTGCCATCTTTTCTTTTCTTTTACTTTTATAATAAAAATATTTTTAAAAAAACAATGAAGCTTTATTAGTTACATATGTTCATTTTCTATATTAGTGATCACAAACTTGGGATCTCCTCAGCAACTTTAAAAGACTCTGTGAATGGTGATTATTATGTGAGGAGGGTTTTTTTGCTCATCTGTGGTGGTGGATATCACGAAAATTATGCACATACCTTTCCTTTTCTCTTTTTGCTCATCATCTTTCGTTAGTGATGTGTGGCTGGTGGATATCACGAAAATTATGCACAGACCTTTTCTTTTCTTTTCTCTTTTTGCTCATCAGCTTTCGTTAGTGATGTGTGGACCAAGACAATTCTTCTTCCAATGTGGCCCAGAGAAGTCAAAAGGTTGGACACCCCCGATTTAAACCAAATCCACCCTCCTAATCATCTATGTTGTGCACTCTCAGGTTAGAACCGTTGGACACCCCCGATTTAAACCAAATCCATTCTAGTCACCTATCTTATGCACTCTCAGGTTAGAACTGACTTGTAGCAACCCTAATAGGGTTTACAAGGTATGTGGTATTTAAGGAGTGTTTTTTATCAGTTTCACCACCACCTCCAGTGAGTTTCCATAGCTAAGCCTGGATTCAGACCTAGGCGTGTTGAGTCCTAGTCCATCACTGTGTCCACTAACCCACATTGGATCACCATAGCTAAGCCTGGATTCAGACCTAGGCCTCTTGAGTCCTCGTCCATCACTCTGTCCACTAACCCACACTCCACTAACCCACATTGGATCATTTTCGTCGTCTAGTCGTTTAGTCGTGTCCGACTCTTCGTGACCCCATGGACCAGAGCACGCCAGGCCCTCCCTACCATTAGGTAAAATGGATCATTTTACCTAATGGTAAAAGTTGCCTTGTCTTCATCCATCCATATTATTTATTACATGTTATAAAAAGCAACAGTACCTGGATCTCAGGATGAAGCTCTAGAAGCCACAAGGAAGGCACTATGCATGTCAGATAGAGAAATATTGCTGGGGAAAACCTGAAAGGAAAGAAAAAGAAAACCAACTTAGCAAAACTGGCACAGTCCCTCAGGTGCCTCCATCAAAACACAGATAGAATCAGTACCCAGGTGCCTCCATCAAAACACAGATAGAATTAGTATAATTACTAGTTATATTTATACCCTGCCTCTCCTCCAGTGATTTCAAGATGGCAAGCTCTCCTCCCTGCAACTCCTTCCTCATAACAGTCCTGCGAGTAGGTCAGGCTAAGAATGACCGGCCCTGCCTCTCCTCCAGTGATTTCAAGATGCCATCCTTGGCTCTCCTCCTTGCAACTCCTTCCTCATAACAGTCCTGCAAGTAGGTCAGGCTAAGAATGACCGGTCTTAGGTTGTCCAGTGAGTTTCATGGCTCACTGGGGACTTAAACCTCCATCTCCCAACACTACGCTGGGTCCCAATGGAAACATTTTCCATTTTGATCTTGATCAATGTGCCTTATTTTGCCTGCAGATAGCAGATGTAAGCCTTTGCAATCCAACTTGCAAATGCCATGTGTTGCTTTGTCATTGGTCATTGAAAGGTAAGCACAAGCTTCATTTGCAAGTCAGATTGTTCAGGAAGCTGTCTCTGAGGCAATTCCATTGTAGGAAGGAAAATGGAGCAACAGAAGGCATATGCTTTTCCTATAACCTCTACCATAACCCTTAGCAGCCAGCAGTGCCAAACAATATATATGTAAAATATATTTAATTTAAATAGCACACACAAATTACTCTGGGACAATTACAATTACACTTACTGTAAATTGCTTTGAGAATTTTAAACTGAAAAGCAGCATACAATTGCTCCTAAATAGATAAAATGAAACAAAATGAAAATATAACTGAGAAGGAGATGCTAATTACAGGTCTGACAATGGCGACATTCCTGTATGCTATCTCTTCACCAAATCTATTGTCATGAACAAAAGTCTACACACTTGCTTACAGTGGACTTAAAAAAAAGATTGAGATACAAAACAGATGAGAGAAGCTTCAGCTAACTTAACTTTTGAAGGAACTGAAAAACACTGTGCAGATTTCTGGCTTGCAACCTCCACGTCTTTCTAAAGTGGCCCTGGATCCGCACCATTTGAAACTCCCTGCATTAGAGTAGCCAAATAGGGTTAACTTCCGCACTGTTCAAACATCCCTTTGTGAACATAAAAAAGCATTCCTTTTTTAACGTACTGTAATATTTCTACATATTTCTAGATTTTCTCCACAGCCCTTCCACAAGGAAGCAATCAAACCGAGCTTTGGTCTGATTTCCAAAACATAATGCAGGTGCACAAGCTGAGAAGCCCTTGTGGCAGGGAAGGTGTATTTTGCAAAATCAGCTGGATACGCTGTGTTTGGATGACTGTCTTCCCACCAGGATTTTCAATGTAAGATCAATTCTTCCAGCTGGCCTCTTCCTAAGAGTGATCTAATGAAGTTGTCTGTAGCCAACTGACTTTGCCTCTTGCTGTCTTTTCAAGAGAAAGTGCCTTGAGAATACATTCTTGGCTAGCCCTCCTGCATTCCTTCCTCCCAGTGATTGTCATTAAAAATGAATGCATCACCATCTCTCTTGCCTTTGTAGTAAGAAAACAATAAGAAACGATAGCAGGCCTCTTTATGCATACAGTACTGAGCCACATGTTCATGCTTTGGGGGACAGAGGGAGGGCTTTTATGTTGCAGGAATTCAGAGGATAGAGATGTATATTGTGCCCTGGCACCCCCACCCCTAGGCTCTCTTTCGTAATCAGCTTGTGGTTGAAACAGAGGAAGCGGGGCCTTCGTGGACCATGAGCTGCCCATTCATAACTCTTATTGCAGTTCAGTCAGGAGGCAGGTTTAGTTCCTACCAAAGACATCATCCTGAAGCGCAACCCTTTACATTGCCCCATATTAATGAATGGCTGCCACTAGAGCTGCAACGAGACATTTCAGCACCTGACTTCAAGCTTCCAGTGAAAAAAGGAGGAGGAGACAGTGGTGTCTGCCACACGTGAAGAGAAAGTTGGTGCTTTTTTTTTTTTTAAAAAAGGTGAACAGGATGGGATGTGCGGTTGTTCATTTCCCTAACACCAGTAGATTCATCTCTATATTCCAGTGCCATTTAAATCTTGGCATCCAGGGACAAGGGCCCAGTTGCAATACCTGGTTGCCGATCCCTTAAAAAGGCAAAGACTTCGAAGGGTGCAGTCAAAAGCATTGTTGGGCTAAAGTCATGTTGGGTCCTGGTTACCCACATTTCTGGATATAGCACCGTGGATCCCCTTTCTCTTGACCTTATGACACAGAATATAAATGATAGCCTTTGGATATCAAGCCTAAACCTAATCCCACCTAGTTATATCCTGAGTAAACTCTCCCTCTGTCTCTTTTTTAAAACATACTACAGAAGGGATCTGTTAGAGAAGGTAATTACGCCCATATGGGCTGGGGAGGTATGAGTTGCAGTTGTCTGGGCAAACACGCGTATTTGCATGTGTATGCAAACAGGCAGACATGGGAAGGAGAGGATTTCTGGTGTGAGCCTTGAACATTGTCCCCACCTGGACCAATTCTGCTCAAGATTATGGGAGTGAAGGATGGAGAAGCAGGTAAAACTCACCCCCATTGACTTCTTCTGGGTCATTGGGTAGGAAATAGATTTTTGACCTCATTTCCTCCCAGTGAACCCCAATCAAGATTCTTGCTTCCAAGTTCCCGTGAGTAGCATTGAAGCAGTTAGTGCAGTTGTCCTAAAGGAGGATTTCACATTGAGGAACATGGGGGGCTGCATATGAGCCCGTGTGTCACATCCTCCCCTGAAGAACTCCTCTAGTGAGGATTAGTTCCTAGCCTACAAGCATGCTACAGGCAATAAGAATGAGAACTGGCTGTCTGTGCAGACCTGGGATCCTTGGGGACTGCACTCCAGGATGGGTGCAGAATGGCCCCAGAGTCAGATGCAGAAGGTGGGCTCCCTCCCAGCTATTTAATTTCCATTGGCTTGACTCTTGACCCAGCTTTTGCATTGCTCCCCTGATATTGACTGTTCAATAAACTGTTGCTAGAACGTGCCCCTCCTTGGAGCAGGACACAGTGAAGCACAGATTGTGTAGCTCAGTGATTCTAAACCTTTTGGAAAGAAACGCCCCCTTGAGCCATTGAGGAAGTTATCATCGCCCCCCTCCCCACGGTGATGATATCTTATTTATTTATTTATTTATTTATTTATTTATTTATTTATTTATTTATTTATTTATTTATTTATTTATTT